AAGCTGGAGGAAAGTGATAATTTTTTAATAGATTTAATCATTGTTTTCAAAAAAATTTAAATTAAAGATAGTAATAGTTTAGACACAATAAATTTAAAACTAAAAATTAATTAAAACTTAAATGAAAAATGAACTCTTGATATTATATGAATATAGTAATATAACATAGATTTTTTTTTTCCCTATTTAATATCCCATTATGTGAGTCATTTGATCCTTCCTAAGTAGATATGATAGCAGAGTGATTCATGACTATTGGTTCAAACTCTCAACTTTGGTGGGTGAAAATTGTCATCTTTTCCTGTCATTTTCATACCATATTCCCCCCCCCCCCCCCCCTCCTTCAGTGTCATATATAATCTAATACATTTTTCTCCTTTAAAATGACCTCTCCAGAAAGCAACCCACCTATATATATATATATATATAATATAGTATAATATAATACTTATGTATAACAAGATAACAATTGTTTCCAAAAAAGACTAGATTGTTTTTAACCTTCATTAGCCACTAAAGACAGTAATTTTTACTGTTAAAAAGCAGAATAATCATATTATTATTATTGTCTTCATTATTTCTTTCAAATTTCTTAATAACAAGATTTACTTGACTGTAAAAGAATAAATTAACATCAAGCAGATTATTGGATTACCCACAAACTTAAATAAATTAAACAACCAGCTTGAAAGTTGAATCTTTAAATTACAGCCTCTATGCTTGACCGGCCACCACCATTTATATTGGAAAATTTATTCCTGTTCCACCATTACAGAGGGTGATTATATATACATCGTAATGTTTTGAGAGCAAGATAGGCCAGGTCTTTTATATAATCTGAACTTGTAAAGAAGAGAGAAGACCAGAAACTCTTGTCAAGAAATGGCATTTGTGATGCTTTACCGCCTATTCTTTTTCTTGCTGCTTCTTAAACTTGTAGCAGGACAAGATAAAGAAAGCATCATTTTAGGATCACATCTTCTAGCTTCTGATGAGCCTTCTTCTTGGAAATCCTCGTTTGGTGATTTTGCGTTTGGATTTCGTTACCTTGAAGATCAAGAACTCTTCTTGCTAGCCATCTGGTTCAACAAAATTCCTGATCGAACTATTGTTTGGTATGCAAATGGAGATAATCCTGTGCCAAAAGGATCAAAAGTTGAGCTCACCGCTGATGGTCAGTTATCACTGACTGATCCCCGCCAGCAGGTGATCTGGGAAACACGTCCAGGCTCAACTGGAGTAGCTTATGCTGCCATGCTTGACACCGGCAACTTTGTACTTGCATTTAATGAATCTGATTATGCCTGGGAGAGCTTCAAGAATCCAACAGACACCATGTTGCCAACTCAAGCACTGGATATCGGGGAAAAGCTGTCCTCTGGTCAAATGGCTGGCAATTTCTTGAAGGGAAGATTCCAACTCCGCATGTTACCAGAAGGTAATTTGGTCCTTAATACAATGTCAGTGCCATCAGAATATGCATATGAGCCTTATTATGTCAGCAACACAGAGGATAGTGGTAATTCATTCAATTCTGGTTTTCGTTTGGTATTTAACGAGTCAGGTTACCTGTATATAGCTCTAAAGAATGGTGAAATCTCTAACCTGACTTCAGGAAAGATAGTCCCAACAAGCGATTTCTACCACAGAGCAACACTGAATTTTGATGGGATCTTTACAC